GATCTAATGGCTGTTCTTTGAATACAACATCCCATCTCCCAACTTCATACCTTTGCACCAGCTAATCTCCATGATGGAATGTTATCCCTCCTAATCTCTATCTCTCAGCTTTTCTGACTTCCTTCAAGACTCATCTAAAATGCCTGCTTCTGCTGGAGAGCTTTCCTGGTACTTTCTCCCTTCCCTCTGGGATGTGCATCTGAGTTCCTCGAGGGCAGGAACAGTGTATATCCTTTATTTTTATACCTAGCACTTACCATAATGCCTGGCACATAGTAGGTACTTAATAAATTATTGTTGACTCACTTGCTCCCTTCCTCTCCATCACATTACCTGCATTCTGCTATTATAATTTCATTTCTTTCTATTGAAGCTTTGATTGTTGTTAAAAATGAACATATCCCTAGAACATGGGTTCTTTTTGTCTATTCTTTATTTTATTTATTTTTTAACATTCATTTTTTTTTTATTTTGAGTTCCAAATTCTCTCCTCTCTTCTTGGCCCTACATCACCCATTAAGAAGACAAGCAATATAATACCTATTATACATGTGAAGTCATGCAAAACATATTCCCATATTAGCCATATTGCAAAAAAAAAAGCAAGAAAAATAAGGAAAGTAAAGAAAAATATATACTTCAATCTGCTCTCAGAGTCCATCAGTTCTCTTTCCAGAGATGGACAGCATTTTTCATCATGAGTTATTTGAATTGTCATGGATCATTGTATTAGAGTAGCTAAGCCTTTCACAGTTATTTATTGTTGCAATACTGCTCTTACTATGTACAATATTCTTCTGGGTCTGCTCACTTCACTTTGCCTCAGTTCATATACATCTTTACAGGTTTTTCTGAAACTATCCCCTTCATCATTTCTTAGAACACAATAGTATTCTATTACATTCGCAGACCCTAACTTGTTCAGCCATTCTCCGATTGATGGGCATCCCCTCAATTTCCAGTTTTGTTACCATAAAAAGAACTGCTATAAATACTTCTGTACATATACCCTTCCCCTTTTTCTTTGATCCCTTTGGGATATAGATCTAATAGTGGTATTGCTAGGTCCAAAAGTATGTAGTTTTATAGACCATTGGGCATAGCAAAACATGCGTTTGTGACCTTTTTTGTGACAGGGGCACTTTTGGCAGCGTAATGAAACTTATTTACCCCTTCTCAGAATAACGTTTTTAAGTGCATAAAATAAAATACATAGGATTACAAAGGAAATCAATTCTAGTGAAAATAAAATGTAATTTTTTTCCATCCAAGTTAATGGGCCCTTTGAAGTCTTTCCATGGACCCATTCCATAAACCCCCAAGTTAAGAACCTCTGCAGTGTAGGAACAGATGGCTAACTGGATGACTGATTAAGCACTTACCAGGCACTGTGCTAAGTGCTGGGGATACAATATGAGTGAGTCCCTGCCCTCAAAGAACTACTTCTAATGAGAAAAAACAAGACATAAAGGAACGTTGGAAAGGAAGATAGCACAATAATGGAGAAGGCAGGGAGGAGGCTTAGAACCTGGTTCTGGTCAAGATAAGATAAACACACCTATCAGACCCCAGTATCCTGGGCAGAGTCCAGGGTTCCTGCTAAGGGTTTGGGTAGGGAAGGGGAAGACAGAGAGGGTGGCCAGAGTGGAGGCAGCGTGGTGTGGAGATGGCTGGGTGCACCTTATGCTACTAAGAGCTCCTACCATAATAGCATGAGTGAATGTGTTAGCTCATCATCTCCAGAGGGTAAGAGCAGTGACCTGCAGAATGAATCAGCAGATAGGGAGGCTTTGAGAAGGAGGAAGAGAGACAAAAAGCATCACCTTTGGTGAGGCCGTGAATAGTACAGTATTTGGGCACTTGGGCAACTTTAGGGAGCGCCATGAGAGCCCAGGCTGAATGGAAGGGAAGGGGAGCATCTCTGAAAGGAGCCAAGGATGGACCCTGAAGGGGCACTTCATTGACTTTACATCTGTCCTGAGCACTGGCCCTGATCCCAGACAAAAAATTCCTGAAGTTCCCCTTAGAGCTAAGACCCCCCCCAACCCAGCCCTCCCAGAGGCCAAAAAGCTATTAAACAAAATACCCTCTGCCAGGCTGCTGAAGGGCCAAGCCCTCCCCCGAAACCTAGTCTATTTACTGAACCAAGCCCATAAAATTAACAGTCCCTAGCCAGGGAGCTCAGTAGCAGAAGCTTTGAAAGTCTGGGCACAGAACCAACCCTGGGCAAAATTGTAAAGTTGGCAAAGTTTGTCTATAGGGCCACCACCCTCTGCGGCCTTTCCCCCATCCATAGTGCATTTTCTATCCCCCAAAAGCTTTCCATTGCACTCTCTCATGCGCTCTCTCTCTCTCTCTCTCTCTCTCTCTCTCTCTCTCTCTCTCTCTCTCTCTCTCTCTCTCTCTCTCTCCCTACTCTCTCTTCTCTCCTCTCTCTTCTCTCCTTCCATCTCTCCCTCTCTCTTCTCTCTCTCTTCTATCTCTTCTCTCTCTCCCTCTCTCTTTCCCTACTCTCTCTCTCTCTCTCTCTCTCTCTCTCTCTCTCTCTCTCTCTCCCTACTCTCTCTTCTCTCCTCTCTCTTCTCTCCTTCCATCTCTCCCTCTCTCTTCTCTCTCTCTTCTATCTCTTCTCTCTCTCCCTCTCTCTTTCCCTACTCTCTCTTCTCTCTTCTCTCTTCTCTCCTTCCCTCTCTCTCTCCCTCTCTCTTCTCTCTTCTCTCCTCTCTCTTCTCTCCTCTCTCTTCTCTCCTCTCTCTTCTCTCCTTCCCTCTCTCTTTCCCTCTCTCTCTCTCTCTTCTCCCTCTCCATATTCTCCCTCCCTGGCATCAGTCACAAGCACTTTGAATGGGTGATGGTTTGACACTATAGTCCCTCTCCTCGGGGTATTATCTTGAGAACTTGATTTCTGATTAAAGAATGACAGTTTATATCATATTTTATGGGACTCAATGAAGGTATTTGGCAGAAGAGGGAGGTGGAATTGATGGGCAATAATGTAATGTGATATAATATAATGTAATATATTATCAAATGTGAGCTCCTATTATAATGGACTAGATACTAGGTCACCCTTTGAGTAGGGCTCAGAAGGATAGAACACAAGTTTGATAAGGATTGAGAGAAAGTAGTTGTTCTATCACTCCTCCTACCAAGCTAGAATGAAAGAATCAAACAGTTTGGTCCTCTTCTTCCAAAAGCTCAGAAAACTTCAAAGAGTTGGGGAGTCAGAGGGAGCAGGGAGAGTTAGAACAGCCACCAGAACTGAGAGAAAGAGATATGAATTTGTTCTTTGGAAGAAAGTATCAGAGCAGTTAGGTGGCACAGTGAATAGAGCACCAGCCTTGGAGTCAGGAAGATCTGAGTTCTAATCCAGCCTCAGATGCTTACTAGCTGTGTGACCCTGAGCAAGTCACTTAACTCCAATTGCCTCCAAAAGAAAGAAGAAAAATATCATTTCTCCCATCATCTTAAGCCTGTATTAAGTACTTTGCTATAAGTAACATTATGTTGAATACTGTACAAAGCAAGTAACTCAGATCCAGGCACTGCCCCCCAACTACTTCTAGTCTAAGAACATGATTCCTAACCATTCTTAGTGCTTTGAGAAAGGAGAGTTGGTTTTTGTTTTATTTTGTTTGGAGGGAGGGCAGGGAGGGGACTGGAATGACAGAGGGATGGATCTATGATTTTATTGTTATAGGGAACTCCCAGTGAGAAAACTCCCTCTATTCCTACAGATCAGCACCTCCTGAACAATTTATTGTTTTAGAGAGTCTCCTGGGAACACCGAGAAGATAGGCAGTATTTGTCAGTGATGGGCTTTAAACCCAGGTCTTTCTGACTCTAAGGCTTCAGATTCAGAATCCTGTGTAGAGCTAACAGGAGGCTAGATATCACTCAAGCATAGGTCTGGGCCCTATACATAGCCAAACTAGGCAGCCACATATGGAGGAACAATTTGAAGACATCAGACTATATCTGCACAAATATATCTCCCCATCTGGGCTGTTACAAGACCTGAACTCTATGTGTGTGTATGTGTGATGATGATAATGATGATGATAATGATGATAATGATGGTGATGATGATAATGATGATGGTGATGATGATGATGATAATGATGATAATGATGATGATGATGATAATGATGATGATGATGGTGATGATGATAATGATGATGGTGATGATGATGATGATAATGATGATAATGATGATGATGATGATAATGATGATGGTGATGATGGTGATGATGATGATGATGATGATAATGATGATAATGATGATGATGATGGTGGTGGTAATGGTGATGGTGGTGGTGGAGGTGATGATGATGGTGGTGGTGGTGATGGTGATGGTAGTGGTGGTGGTGATGGTGATGGTGGTGGTGGTGATGGTGATGGTAGTGGTGGTGGTCATGGTGATGGTGGTGGAGATGGTGATGGTGATGGTAATGATGATGGTGGTGGTGGAGGTGATGGTGATGGTGGTGGTGATGGTGATGATGGTGATGATGGTGGTGATGATGATGGTGGTGGTGGAGGTGATGGTGATAGTGATGGTGATGGTGATGGTGATGATGGTGATGATGGTGGTGATGATGATGGTGGTGGTGGAGGTGATGGTGATGGTGATAGTGATGGTGATGGTGATAGTGATGGTGATGGTGATGGTGATGGTGATGGTGATGATTTAAATGCAACATTGATGGGGTCATTGGTAGCATGAAGGAAGGGGAAAAGAGAAATTTGTTGGATAGATGGGGAGAGGGGGAGTAGGTCACAGTGCAGCTCCCTGAGCAACCAGGGAGATCAAAGAACAGAAAAGGAGCAAAAGATATCACCTGAGGTGGAAAAGAAGCTGATGAGTACACCAGGGACAAACCTGGACAGTTTTTTTTAGGACTCCCTCTCCTAATAATCTTACTGATACTAATACTACTCTGGTCCTAAGATATCTTCTATTCTGATATTCCCCTTTTTCCCTTGATCTTTTTCATTAGGCAGAGTCACCCTGTCCAACGTGTCTGAGAGGAAGGATAACATGCGCCTGGGCTTGAGTCTCACCACCAACCCCAAGGATAACAGTTTTGTGGTAAGAAACAACCCTATCCTTTCTTGTCCCCATCCCCAGGTTCCTTTCACTACAGCCGCATCCATGAATTCCATATTGATTTTTTTCTCTGACTATTTTTTTTCTTTAATAGTATTTTTCCAATTACAAGTAAAGATAGGTTTCAACATTCACTTTTATAAGATTTTTTCATACTGATTTAGAAAGACGTCATGGATAAGAGAATAACTCATCTGAAAGAACTCCAGAGAATTTTTCCAAGGGCTGGGTGGGAAGAGCAGCAGATTCTCTTTTCTCTTTTTCCCAAGTGTAAGAGAAAGAGTTCTGGCTGCCCCCATCTCTCCTGAAAAGTATATGGGGAAAGATGTCTTAGTCCCCAACCTCAAGGAGCTCTGACTAAAGAGACATAGTTCCCACCTATGAAGAGAAAGACAGCCCCTGCCTTGGGAAGTTCCTAGTTAAACAGGGGACAAAAGACTTACCCAAGATCTAAAGACATTTTCAAAGAACCATAGAAAGGAGCGAAAAATAATTTACTGGAAATCATGTTCGTAAGAACTCATGGGGAACAGGTGATCTAGGTCAGGCCCCCATCTAGCCTGGGATGGGGAGATGACTGCATCCTGGTGATTAAGGTGATTAACCAGAACGCCGTGCTGGATGGGTTCACTGATATCAATAAATCTACAGAATTAGGCAGGAGTTGTGAATTTTCCTCCCCTCCTAGTCAAAGCCAGGAGGCATCTAGTCAACATGAGCCATTCAAGTAACACTAAAGAGGGGTGAACACAAGGCATCTGTGAATAACAGTTTGTCACAGGAGTCTGAGCTAAGCAGTGCTAGCCACACTCCTTTCTCACTTAGCTGCCTAGGGAATTCCCTGTGAGCCCAGGGAACGTAAGCTAAATAGGATTCTTGGGGGAAGATACTTAGAGGAGATGAATCTTCAATGTTTTGAAGATGAGGAGAAACTTGGATACTGAAACTTAGCACAGCACCTGGTACATAGTAGACCCTTAATAAGTGCTAATTAAGAAAGAAGAAAAGTTGAGTGGGCTCCTGGGACAAAGTAGGGACAGAGACAACAAGGGAAATAGTTAAAACCCTGTGTATCCCCCATGGTTTCCAGCCTTGCACATGTAATAGCTAGCATTTGTATGTTTTAAAGCTTGCAAAGCACTTTACTAATATTATGTCATTTGAGCCTCACAACAACCTGTAAGGTAGATGCTACCCCATTTTACAGTTGAGGAAATTGAGGCTGAAAGAGGTTTAGAACTTGTCCAGAGTCCCAGAGCTAGTGAATGACTGGGGTTCAGGTCTTCCTAGCTCCAAATCCAGTGCTCAGGAAATATATGTACATTGACTGAATGATACATTGCAATAATAATGCTGCTGCTTGTCCCCCGACCCTGGTCTGGAAGGGAACTCCATAGAATTATGGATTATTATCTTGGGCACAAGATGGGCTTCTGGGCTGCCCTCTGGGAGATGTTTCCAGGGAGCCAGCTGATGGGGAGCAGGCTGGGGAGCATCTTTGTCCCACACGCTTCCCAGTGAAAGGCTTCTGAACATCACCTGGTCTTAGGCAGATGATCTCGGTTCCCCTAGGGCTTTCTATGCAATAGTGGGATGTAACAGAGAGTGTTATCTGAGGGTTCCAGACGCATAGAACTATACCACACAGTAACTCAGGACAACAGCCAAAGGAGGAAATTTGAGACGGAAAGAAGCAACTTTCCCAGCGGGTACTAAAAAATACCTATGGCTCACTCCACAACAAAGTGAAGGGGACTCCCCCAGCCTTCCTTCTTCACTCATCCCCCTTGGACTGCACGGTGCCTGGCACATAGTAGGTGCTTAATAAAATTTTGTTCCCTCTCCCCTCCCGTGCTTTTAAAGCATCTTCAAGGCTGCATTTGATATACATTTTAAACTGATTTCAGTTGTATTCAAATGTTGAAGAAAGGGATAGGGATTTGGTATTTTATTTATCCTACATTGAACATCCTAGTGATGACCCCTAGATCTAAAGCCTCTAAGCTTAGCCCTAATAGCATGGCTGGCGTCCTACCTGTTGGGCTGGTCTGGACCAGTGTTTGAACTTTCTATTAGTCCACGTGTGGCTTGAACAGGGCCTGAGTTTATGAGGAGTCTCACCGAGGATGAATTATCCGAGCCAGGCCTTCTTTCCCAAAGGAGCTTCTTTGCAGCCCTGAAAGGGGGAAGGTTCCAGACAGCCGCTGAAATGACCCCCACAGAACCATGGTGGTTGAAGGAGACCATTGAAACATTCTGTGCATAGAGATGGAAGCTGCCAGAAAGGCGCTTAGATAAAACCAGGGAGATCTTCCTGCCTTTTTTCAATATTTTGATGACTGTGCTTCATTACAATTGGTTTCCTTTGTAATCCTATATATTTTATTTTATGCATTTAAAAACATTATTCTGAGAAGTGGCCCATAGATTTCCAGAAAGTTACATGCACAGTTAAAATAGGAAATAGGATCTTTGAGGAAACACTAAAAGACTTGTATATCTTGGAGAAAAAAAGGCTGAGTAAGGACATAATTATTGCTTTCAGGAGTCTCTGACCCATTCCGTTCATTTCGGCTCCACAACATGTATTCAGCTGTTAAGCACCTTACTATGAGCAAATGAGGATGGAGAGGAAGTAACTAAGTATAGTGGATAGAGGGCTGACCTTGAAGTCAGGAGTTCAAATCCTCCCCTGTCCCACATTAGCTGTGTGACCAAGTCATTTAAGTTATTTAACACACGGTCTCAGGGCAGCTAGGTGGTGCAGTGGATAGAGCACTGGCCCTAAAGTCAGGAGGACCTGAGCTCAAATCTGACCTCAGATCAAACATCCGACACTTACTAACTGTGTGACCCTGGGCAAGTCACTTAACCCCAATTGCCTAAAAATGAAAAAAATTTAACATATGGTCTTCCCCCATGAGTATGTGAGATTGATGAGAACAGGGACTTTTCTATTTGTATCCCTAGCACTTAGCCCAGGGCTTAGGATAGTAAGCATTTAATAAATGTTTTACTTATTCATTGATTTAACCTCTCAATGCCCTAGGTCTAAGACTGCAAGTTACAGAAAGTTGTCTATCTACATTAGTGAAGGGCATTTCCACACCCAGATGGAATCACAGACCCTGCCAAAACAAAGCATGCAAAGTACTGTGATGGGCAGTGGGGAAACAAAAAAACAAATCAAAATTATTGGCACCTGCCTTCAAGGAGTTTCCCATCTACTAAATGAGAATATGACCTATAAGGTATACAGATAAGCATGATACAAGATAAGAGCATTGTGGGTGCAAAGGAAAGATTCAAGCACAGTGCTGGAGGAAAATTTGGAGAGGAAGAGATCATTTTCAGCAAGGGGAATCATGGAAGACTTCACAGAAGAGGCAGAGCACTGCAATGAGCCTTGAAGGAAGAACAGGATTTTGAGAAAAAACAGATAAAAAGGGAGGGAGGCCATTCCAGAAATGGGGAAAACTTACAGAAGCCAAAGTCTAGGACTAACTATTATTCTACATCCTCCCTCGACCTCAACCTTCAGAGGAGAAATGAGTTTAAGCTATGATAAGAGAATTCAAATAGCCACAAGGAATACTTTGCTAACCGCTGGGGACATTATAACTAGGAGAGATGAGCATTTGTCTTGGGCAGTGGAGGCAGGGAGCTGGACCTGATAACCTCTGCAAGATGACCTTCCAGCTCTAGAATTTAAGAACCTTTCCTTAAGTTCAGAAGTGTAGCTAGTGTGGGGAGGTGAGGGCTTTTCCCCACAGTGTCAGCATGGAATAGGGTATGCTTTCCTCCCCATAGCAGCCTTCAGACCACCTGTCCTGTTTCACATAGCGTGACCCTACTCCAGCTCAGGCCCACTACCCCTACTACCCTTCCTTCCCCCCTCCCCACCAAAAAAAATTAAGGGGATCAAAAATTCCTAGAACTTCAATCCCCTTTCCCCAGGAGCTGCCTTTCTAACTAACTCCTGGGGTATGGAGTCTGGACCAGATGGAGGATGGGATAATTGCTCCTATGGTTAACCTATCCTTTTTATTGTCCCCTCTTCCTCTCCCTCCTTCAGATTGTCTTCCTCGGCCCTATTTATTCCCCTGTCCCCCAAACTGCTTCTGCCCCAGAATTCCTCCCTTCAGTTCCACCTATCTTACAACTGTTCCTGTTATCTTTTGTAGGCATGCAGCCCTCTCTGGTCTCACGAGTGTGGGAGTTCATACTATACCACAGGGATGTGCTCTCGGGTCAACTCCAACTTCAGATTCTCCAAGACAGTGGCCCCAGCTCTCCAAAGTAGGTCACTATATAGCTTATGTCTTGGGCCGAACCTTAGACCTTTCATGGGAAGTTTGCAGCTTTGATTAATTCAGCCATGACTGTGATTAGGGGGTAGAAAGAGTCCCACCTGGAGGGTTCCTTATCCCATTGCTAGCTTGTGGGAAGACCTTGGCCAAATCACTTGGCATCTCTGCATCTCAACAATGACAATACTTGCCTCACAAGATGTTTGTGAAGCTCAAGGCAAGAAAGGACCTGTAAAAAGTCTTAGACAAATGTGAGGGACTAGTAGGTAAATGAGAGAGCCAGTGATCTAATTGAAGAGAAAATCATTCTAAGAAAAGTTCCACGAAGACAAAAACCCTTGGCATCTGGGAGCCATCTTCCCGCCTGCCTAGAGCTCCCAGGACAACCAAACCTCACCCTCCACCCTTGGGGTCTTTTGTTTTTCTTTAAGAGGGTCTTAGAATATTGAAGTAAGGAGACTTCCACCACCCCTTCTTCTCCTGGTATGGGCATGTAGCTCAGATCAATTCAGGAAGAAAAAAAAAGGAAAGAATTTGGGCCTCATCTCCTGCAAGTGTAGACTGCTTGGCTCAGCGCCCTCCCATTTCCTTTCTGTTCAATATCATTGAAGAAGCCTTGCCTGCTGCCATTTTTATGGAGGGTGAAAGGATTAGCACCTTGCCCTATCCACACATACATACACCCTCACCCTCCCTTAATAACAGGACTCAACCAGTAGATGGAATTATTATATTAGGGAAGGGTGGCAGAGGGGAGAGGTCTCAGACAGAGGATCCGGGGCAAGGAGCCAGGAGGAGTAATCATTACCCTGTAAGGAGCTTGGTCGGTGAAATAACAACACCACTTGGCAGAAAAAAAACAGGTAATGGGTCTGCTCACACAAGGTGATGAGTAATTCTCCCTCTCCCCCTCCCCAAGCCCCCAAAGAGGGAAAGATGGTAGCAGGAGATGAAGAGACAGGCCCCCCCCCAAATTGAAAATCTTGCTGGATTCAAGAAAACACATGTTTCAATAGGTGAGAAAGGTTTCAGAAACATTCTCTGTGATCAGCCCGTCAGGACTGTGGTACGAAGAGCACTCACTGTGTTGTTCAGATCTGCCACATATTATCGATGTGACTTTGGGCAGGGCATTCGACCTCCCTATGGCTCAGTTTCCTAATGTGCAAAATAAGGGGGTTGGACTAGATGGCCAGGGGCTCTTAACCTCTTAACTCCAGGAACTGGTTTTCTTTCTGAATATTTCTATAACGGTATTTCAGTGGAATTGGTTTCCTTTATAATTCTACGTATTTGCTATTATGCATTTAAAAAACATTATTCTGAGAAGGGACTCAGGTTTTATCAGACTGCCAAAGTGGGTCACAAAAAAAGATTAAGAACCCCTGCTCTAGGCAGAAAGAGACAAGTTTCTCAGGCCCCCCAAATACCAGGGGCCCCTATCGCAAAGTCCTGAATCCATTGTGGGGGGTGGGGGCAGGGGGAGGAGGCAAATTCATCAAGCTTGGTCAACCGCAGACATGTTAAGATGATCAAACCCTGCTTGTAGCCCAGCCAACGTGATAGGAATGGCCAAGTCACTTCTCCCCACATGGAAACAGCCTGAGGAGTTGTCTTACTCTACCAATTCCAAACTACCCTGGTGAACTGGAGTTGGGTTTTTTTTTTTACTCTAAAATGAAGGGGATCAAAAACTCAGCACTAACCAATAGGACCCAAGATTGTCCCACAGATCTTTACTATAATGAGAGCTGAAGTGGGCATATTTCAAAGTCTCGACAACGCAGACATTATTGACGTATTTGCAAGCCAAAAAGTCTCATAAGGCACTGCTTTACGATAAATTGCATAATGGTATCCATTTTTCCCTGTTCCTAACAATATGGAAAAAATAAACAGTGGACCAGCCACAAATGTTTGCCCAGGGCCCCATAAGTGGGTTGAGGAGTCCCTGCCAAACCCTGCTGTCCAGTCCCCTCAATGGAACAACCTCCCCTTGATATAATCATGATTGGGGGAGAGGAAAGGTGGGGGTGGAGGAGGGTGGTGAGGAAGGCTCAGATCATAGAATATTAAAACTGGATAGAACCATCTCATTATACAGATGAGGAAACTGAGACCCTGAAAAAGTTAAGGGGGTCACTCAAGATTACATAGTTGACTGGCAGTAGAGCTAAGTCAAGTCTAGTCAACAAATGTCTACTATGTACCAGGCACCGTTCGAAGCACTAGGCATTCGAAGAAATGCTTAATGCAGCTAGGTAATACAGTAGATAGAGTGCCAGGCCTGGAGTCAGGAAGATTCATCTTCCTGAGTTCAAATCTAGCCTCAGACACTTACTAGTTGTGTGACCCTGGGCAAGTCACTTAACCCTGTTTGCCTCAGTTTCCTTTTCTGTAAAATGAGCTGGAAAAAAAAACAGCAACAAACAATTCCAGTATCTTTGCCAAGAAAACCCTATATGGGGTCACAAAGAGTCAGACATGACTGAAAAAGACTGAATGATTCAAAGAAAGGTAAAGAAATAGTCCTTGCTCTCAAGCTTACAGGCCAATAGGAGAGACAAGATACAAATTACTACGTATGAACAAGGAATAAACAGGATAAATAAATTGGAAGATAAATTGGATACAAGCTCAGCCAAGACTAGAACCTAGGACTCCTAATTCCCAATCAGATGCTTTTCCCAGAATGCCGTTATTAAGCCAAGGGCCAGCTGCAGCCCACAGACTAGAGCCTTTCCCAACCAACCCTGGAAGTCAACCTCCTAAGTTCCAATTCCAGCTCTGCCCACAATTAGTTGTGCGACCTCTTCACTCTCTGTAAAACGAGGGAGAATGACCTGGCTAGAGGAAGCAGCCCAGTTCCGATGCTCATCTCTGTGTTTTTGACCAAATCACTGTGTCACCTCTCTGGGGCCTCAGTTTCTTCATCTGTCAGATGGAGGCTTTGGTAGTCAAAAGCTCATACACAGGATCATTGATCTGGAAGGGACTTCAGAAGAGATGATCTCCAAGGTCCCTTCCAACTTGGATATCCTATTATTCTAGGACCTATGAACCCTGCAGTCCTTTGTCCATCACCCTCAATATAGTCAAAACCGATTCGAAATCTTCATCTGTTTCTGGGTTCCATAACTAAAGACAGATGTGGTAGACAGAGATGAGAGGGATGCAAATTCATAGAGTTTAAAAGAACTGGAATTATTTGGCCAGGAAGAGATACTAGGAAGTGACATTGAGATGAGCTTTAGCTCTCTGAAAGGTTATTAGAAAGTATCCTCTGAGAACAGATCAATAGAGAGAAAGTGGTTTAAGCTATACCAAGAGGGACTTAGGTCAAATGTAAAGAAAAATGTTGTGACAGTGAGTGTGGCTAAGGGCTGGAACAGATGGCCAAGAAAGACTAAGGAATCTCCTTCCCTGGGGGCATTTAAAGAGGGATTTAATATCCTGAGATGATTAAGATTTCTTCCAGCCTGAAGGAAAAGTCCCCTCCAGTCCAAAAGTCTGTGACTCCTTATATATGCAAATATGGTAAAGTTACGATTATATGTCTGTTTCCTTAGGGTGTCAAACATACATGGATATCATTATTGTCTTGGATGGCTCCAACAGCATCTACCCCTGGGTGGAAGTCCAGCACTTTCTCATAAACATCTTGAAGAAGTTTTACATTGGCCCTGGTCAGATCCAGGTGAGTGTCTAAGGGTTATTTCATGCTGCTGAGAGAAGGACGCTAGATTCATAGGCATAAAACTTGAGTTCAAGTCCCAGCACCAACTAGCGGCATGTCCTTGGGCAATTCATGATCCTTGAAACCTGTTTTCCTCATCTGTGAAATGGGGATAATAATACCTTCTACTCTGCTTGATTCATAGGATTATTATGAGGTGAATTCTTTATAGACTAACAAACCCTATAGAAAAATCTAAAGTATTCTTTCCAGTTCAGAAATATCCCCTTTTTTTCTGGGCAAGGCTCAGCGTTGTAATAACTGACTTTTCCCAAATCCACCAACTGATCCATTCTGTGCTGGTGGGATAGCCTCAAAGCCATAGAAAGAGATCACTACAAAGGAAATGGATCAAGGAAGATCCTAGCCACTTGGGATATTTGAAAAATCAGAGTCATCAGCCTCAGTTAGCTCCACAACCCCTCCAATGCAGAGTTCTTTCTCCGATGAGGACTCCAGAGGACAGACTGAGGAAGTCTCACTGCATTGTCCTCACAAGTTAGGACCATGCCCCAAAACATTCCTAGTTATCTTTAACTATCCTGCATGGCTCTATTAGGCAGCTAGGTGGCGCCGTAGATAGAGTGCCAGGCCTGGAGTTGGGAACTCATCTTCCTGAGTTCAAATGTGTCCTCAGACACTTAATTGCTGTGTGATCCTGGGCAAGTCACTTAATCCTGTTTGCCTCAGTTTCTTCATCTGTAAAATGAGCTGGAGAAGAAAATGGCAAACCACTCCAGTATCTTTGCCAAGAAAACCCCAAATGGGATCATGAAGAGTCAGACATGAGTGAACAACAACAACATGGCTCTATGACACGAGCTAGGAATCCATCGAAACTTTTTTTTTCGATTAACAAGCATTTTTTTTCTTTCTCTCCCCACCCCCCACTTAAAAAAAAAAAGAAAACCCCTATAACAAACATACATAGTGAAACAAAACAAATTCCCACATTGGTCATGTACGAAAGTATGTCTCTCTTTAATCCATTGCCTCTCTGTCAGGAGGCAGGCAGCACTCCTCATCATCAATCAGAATTAGAGTTCTTAAATCGTTCAAAGTCTAAGCCTTTTTTTAACTAGCTCTAGTGCCACCTCCTACAAGACTTTCTGGATTCCCCTGATCTATTAGTGCTTCCCCCACCCTTTTCTGTTGTTGTTCTTATTTTTTATAACAAAAAAAATTATTTTTTATTTACTGACCCATGTATGGTATTATTTTGACCCCAGGAAAAGGCAAAGTCTTTCAAGGCAACAACTATTTGGTTTACGGCGTTGTACTCTCACCCCAAGCCTAGCACAGTGCCTGGTATACAGTAAGTGCCTAATAAATATCTGTTGAAATGAATTAAAGCCGTTGTTTCCAACCTGTACAAACTCTTGAGGTTACAGGATCATAGAGCTAAAACTGGAAGAGGCCATCTAATTGAACTCTCCCCAGCCCCTCCCATTTAACAGATAAAGAAACTGAGGTGTAGAGAGGTTAAGGGTCACACAGCCAGTCAAAGTTAAAGGTAGGATGTGAACTCAGGTCCTTTGACTATATGCAAGGCTCTTGCTGCATCCTGTAATCAGTCTCATTACAAAAAATAAGATTTTATTTTTATTTGTCCTAAACATCTCTTTTTTAAATTTTAAGGAATTCCTGGAATTCCAGTATTCTGGGATTTGGTAAACAAGTCTATGTTTGTCCAATTCATACCCATTCTAAGGCCATAGACTTCATTCCTGTCCCTTCTCAACCTGTTCAATTCACTCTCTGGATCTGTTCTCATTCTGCAGCCACCTCCCATTCTTGTCCCCTTGGCCATTAGAGGGCTCTGCCTCAGTGCTAGTGGATTCCTGCGGATTGGGGGAGGCGGGGAGGCAGGGAGGTGGTATCCACAAATCTTCCATCTCGCCCAATGGGGCGCAGAATCCAGAACACTTCACCCTCACCAGTCAGTCCAACGGACAATGGGTCATGCGCTTCCCTCCCCCTCCTCTGACTTCCAGGTGGGCGTGGTTCAGTACGGAGAAGATGTGGTGCATGAGTTTCACCTGAATGACTACAGGTCTGTCAGAGATGTGGTGGAAGCTGCCAGCCACATCGAGCAGAGAGGAGGTACAGAGACCCGGACGGCGTTTGGGATAGAATTTGCTCGGTAAAAGTTCTGATGTGGAATTCAAAAATGTCCTGTTTTCATGAGGCCAGAGGCTACACACACACACACACACACACACACACACACACACACACACGCACGCACACGCGCACACATGCATGAATGCATGTACATACGTGCACACACATGAACACAAATGCATGAGTGCACATACTCTTATGCATGCATGCACGCATGCACACACATGCACACATACCTAGTGCAAAAAATAAAAGGGATGGAGTTCATCTACCTGTATTTCAGAGGCCTAGCTATGGACTACATCCAAGCAGCCCCTGAAAGCTTGTGGGGGTGGGTAAACAGATTCTGAGACCGATGGGGCTCCCAGGGACCAACTTGACCCTAGGGAGTTACTGACGCCACACCAGAAGACGTTTCCAGGACTGGTCCATTCTGCCAACATCCCATGAAGCACAGCACCTCTACACAGTGTGATCCTTTAGGACGACACATCTCTATTGATGCTAATGTTTGCTCTAAACTTTTTTTTGCATTATCATTTGATCCTCACAATAATCCTTAGGCAGGTTAGATTCAAAGAATCTGGGGCAAAGGCCATCCAATCCACCGTGTTCCTTTTAAAGACGAGGAAGCTTAGACAGAGAAGGAAAGTGGCTTGCCAAGGACATAGAAGAAGTGCATGCCCCAGTCAGGATTTAAACCCAGGCCTTCTGGCTCCAAACGCAGCGCTGTTTCTATTACACCAGGCTCCCCCTCCCCATTTTATAGCTACACACTGGTAAGACTTAGTCATAGAGCTGGAGCTGAAAATCTCAGAGCTTTAGACTGTAGGTCTGGTGTTCTTTTCATCACACTGTGCCCATCTCAGCTGAACCATCCTCATCCCAGATGAAAATCCAAATTTTCAGGAAATACCTACTTATTGGGGCAGCTAGGTGGCACAGCGGATAGAGTGCTAGGCCTGGGGTCAAGAAGTCCTGAGTTCAGATCCAATCTCAGACACTTCCTAGCTGTGTGACTCTAGGCAAGTCACTTAACCCTGTTGGCCTCAATTTCCTCATCTGTAAAATGAACTGGAAGAGAAAATGGCAAACCACTCCAGTATCTCTACCGAGAAAACCCCAAACGTTATCACAAAGAGTTGGACACAACAGAAATAACTGAACAATCTACTTACTGTGATAAACTCAGTAACTCACTGCCTGTTAATTGGGGTCTTTGTTCTACATGAGGAAAGTGCAGAATTCAATTCAACAAACATTTATTAAGTGAAGAACACTGTACCTGGCTCGGAGGGAGGCAGGAAATAGAATACATAGCTCCTGGCCACATGGGGTTTATAGTCTCCTAGGGGGATATGACATATGCACAAATAATTATAAATATGAATTACATCACGAGTACCCAGAGAAGCAACGTGGCAGAGTAGATGTGAAGAATTAGCCTCAGGTGTCAGAATTGGAGAAAGAAGCCTAGATAGCTGCCTTCCTCCGTGGCCCACTATCATCAGGGGTGGTTTTGGTGTTGGCCAATAACTTGGCTTCTTGGGAAGTGTCCATCTAGGAAGCAGGTATAGATTAAGTGGGAACATAGCCTATACCTACCTCTTAAACGGATGCTACCCAAGAAGCCTAGTCATTGGCCAATGCTAGGGTCATCTCTAGGAGGCAAATGGAGCCCAATCACATTCTGTGGGCTCCCTGCTCCTCCACCATTTCAATAAATTCATTCAGTTAAGTATTTATTAAACGCTAGCTACATATCAGGCACTGTAAATACAAATAAAAAATAAAAGCAGTCACTGCCCTCAATGAGCTCACGTTCTAATGGGAGAGTCAACTGTGGACCTACTAGCTAAAGTGCTTTGCAAACCCCGAACCACTATAGTAAATACTAGTTATGATTATGATTAGTTCCAAGCTTCCCCTGTGGATTAGTATCTTTTTTTTGGGAGGGGGGTTGTTGTTGTTGTTGTTGTTGTTTGGTTTTTTTAGGTGATTGGGATTAAGTGACTTGCCCAGAGTCACACAGCCAGTAAGTGTCAAGTATTTGGTCTGAGGTCAGATTTGAACTGAGATCCTCCTGACTTCAGGGCTGATGCTCTATGCACTGCGCCACCTCGTTGCCCCGACTAGTATCTTTAATGCCAGGATTTCATCACAAGAATGTACTCACATGGTAGAATAGAAGGAGAATTTGTTCTTAAGTCAGAGGATATGGATTCGACTCTCACCTCTTCCACTTATGACCTCTTTGATCTTGGAAAAGTCACTTTACTTTTCTGAGACTAAGTTTCTTCAGCTGTAAAATGAGGTGGTTATATTGGCTGGCCTCCGACGTCCCTTCTGGTATAATACATATCTTATCTCATTTTATCCTCACAACGCCCTTCAAGAAAAGTGTAACTATTATCCCCTATTATTATATTGTAGATGCTACTATAATATATATTATGTACACTATGTATATGATATATATAGTACATATACTATATATTATATACTATATAATACTATACCATATATAATATATTATATGTAAATATATTGTATAGAAATATGTAACATATAAATATATTTAATTTATTATATATAGATGCTATTATAATATATTATACTATAATAGCTGCTATTACATTATAGATGAGGAAACTGAGGCAAATAGAGGTTAAGATTTGGCCAGGGTCACATAGCCAATAAGCATCTGAGTCAGGATTTGGACTCAGGTCTTCCTGCCTTTGGGTCCAATGCTCTGTTCCCTGATAGTTGGCTTGTGTTTTGGCCTTCGGTCTATTAACTCTATGGTTCCTAACTTTTGTCCCTAGTGCAGACGGCCTTAGCAAAGAACCTGCCTCTTATTCAGGTTACCAAATCCCAATTCTCTGTACTTAGACCCCCGACCCCATGCAGCAATAACAATATATAATATGTAATACAATGCATGTGTAATACGTGATACTAGCTGGCATTTATATAGCACTTTAAACTTTGCAGAGCACTCTATATACATTATCTCATATGAGGCATCTAACAATCCTGGGAGTTAAGCAGTAGGTATAGGATATTATTATCCCAATTTTACAGATAAGGAAACTGAGGTTCACAAAGGCTAATGACTTGCCTGTGATCTCATAGCTGCTACATGTCAGAGACAAAATATGGACCCAAGACATCCTTACTACAAGTCTGGCACTCTGATCAACGAATGTGATGAAATACCTACTAAGCAGTAGTTACCCAACCTGAAAGTCTCAAGTAAAACCATTTGATAAAGTATTTCCCAGAGGACTTCTAACCTGGGAGCTCAGGAGGGCTCCTGTAGCCTTCCTCTCCCTCTTGTTCATCAGCTTCATCCAGGCCCTGGACCATCATGGCCATTGACTTACTATATTGATGAGCATGTTTAGCTAAAACTGGTAGACTGAGACTGGTTCTATGTTGCTCTTCAGTGAACACCTTACTTATGTGAAGCCCGCACTAGTGACTCACCATCAGGAGACTTTGTTCTGGGAGTTGTTTTGCTAACAGTGGGGACATCTAGTGTTGAGTCCATCCCAAACCTTTCTCCTAGGTGCCCACCATCATCTGCCCTGGTGACCTGCAGCATACGTGAATGAGCCGACCACTGGGTTAATGAGGGAGGCTGAGGTCCTGGGACTGATTTGTTCCCTGTTCAAAGCTAATTAGCCCATACCTAAATCAAACCCACCTCATTAGCACCAGACTCCAGTCCCAACAAAGCCCAGCCAGATGTTTAGTGTATGACTCACCAGATGTTTTGGATCATTAAAGTGGCTCACAGGGATCGCCGTGGTGTATAATCTGTACTTTATGCGAGGTTCAACTATACAACCTGCACATTTTTAGCCCCAAATTACATTACATGCCATACTTACAAAGCTAGAAAAGCCCTCTGCTCCTTCCCCCAAGGATCCAAGAACTAGTCAATGCATATATTTTGGTGATTTTACTGAAATAAGGTAATTTTTTGTTCTAAGAAACAGAAGGACAATATCCTATGCTGGTCCAAATAAAGAATGGGCTTTTTTTTTCTTTCAAAATCTGGATTGTATAAAACTTGAGTGTGGCCTATAATAAGTATTATTTTTTCAGGGGATACCCATTTTTTTATTCCTTGCAAAAAGATCTCATTTTAGGGAATGCAGCTGGTTCACTGTCAGCCTACATTCTGACCAAGACAATAGTATTTTCAACTCTGTTTTCTTCATATGCCTAGCTAGGTCCCAGGCTGCCAACAGTCCATGTAATAATTATAATCCAATTTGATTCAAGAAACATTGATTAATATCTACTGTGTGCAAGGAACTGTGATATGTGCAACAGGAGCAAAGTGATCAAAAATACAAGGCCTTACATATCAGGAAATAAGCTTCTTAAGTCATTCTTGCATTCATATTCCCAGGGCCAAGCACAGTCCCTGGCACATAGTAGGTATTGATTACAAACTAGCCAGTTGAGTAATATAAAGTGTGTTTATACTTTTCAAAATATTTCCCTACTCATCATGTCCTTTGATCCTACCAATAATCCTATAAGAAAAGGCAGGTGTTATTAGGCCCATTTGACAGATGACAAAACTGTTCCAGAGATACTCAGCTAGAAGTTAGGAAATGTAACTGTTGATCTCAGCTCTGCTACTCTCTTTGTGACCTTGGCCAGTTACCATAACCACTGGGTAAGAGTCAAGTCACTTCATCTGCTTCACTTTCATTCTCTGTTCATTCAGGGTTTTCTATCCTTCCTCCTTGCCTTGGCCAGGTATGAGGTTTGTTTGAAACAACAAATGTGAAAGTGCTTTGCAAAGAGATAATTTTTGCTTAATGATTTTATTCAAAATGTCAATGATCTGAGAAGCAGTGCAGTTTAATAGAGAAGATCAGTGACCTAGATCCTAGGCCTAGTCTGTCACTTATTACCCCTATGACCTATAGCATATCACTGGACCTCTCTGGCCTTCAGTTTCCTCATTTAAAAAGTGAAGGAAATAGAATAGATGATCTCTAAAGCTCCTTCTCTCTCCCAGTTCTAATACTGTATGATTCTATGATTCTATGACTTGCCTAATCTAACATAGTCAATTAAAGGCAGTGCTTGAACTAGAACCCAGGTTTTCTGAAGCTCTTCCACTAGGGAGCTAAGAATGCAGTGGATAGAAGATTAGACTTAGAGTCAGGAAGACCTGAGTTCAAACTTGACCTCAGACACTAGCATTGGGATTCTGGGCAAATCACTTAACCTCTGTCTGTCTCAGTTTTCTAATCCATAAGACGGGGATAATAATAGTACCTACTTTCCAGGGTTTGGGGGAAGATAATATGAGAATATTTGTAAAGCAGCTCACAAACCTCAAAGCACTATGTAAATGCCATTATTATACACACTTTAGATAAGTGAGGGTGGGGGAAGGTATTTGGGCTTCCAAATATAAGTGGTTTGGGACTTTTCTACTATTCTAGATTTTCTGGATCCCATTCCCCATCATTAGTGTAGAAAATCAAGAGTTGGCTGTGGCCAATTAACAAATGGTCAGGCTTCTAAGACTATTCCCAAATGTAAAGTGCGTCTTCTGCTATTATGGAATAATCACGTTCATCTCCCTGACTCCAAAGCTGACATTCTAGCCACGACAGCCCACTGCTTCTGGTTACTGTACACTCTCATTGCTGAGTCAAAACTGTGGGGCTAAGGGTTTCTGTCCTACAAAGTTGGCAGCCTTTTCGTCCATGTTTCCAAAAGAGAATATTTCTAGGTCGTGCTTAGATGCACATTATTTATGGCTTCCTTTCATGTCTTGCATAATGTTTTAAAATGTGATGATCATTTAAGAGATGATCTCATTTGAGAATATATTTTGAAAATTTTTAAAAATGAGAGACAAATAGAAGGGATTAGTAGTATTCTCATTTCTTTATAGCTCATCTCCTTGAAGTGTGACTTGAACGCACTGGTGCTGGTATTATAATACCAGCAATATTATAATAGTTAGCATTTCTGTAGTACTTTAAGGTTCATAAAGTGCTTTACAAATGTATTCTCTTATTTGATCCTCATGACAACCCCAGAAGACAGGTGCTATTATTATCCCTATTTTACAGAGGAAGACATTGAGGGAGATAGCAGTTAAGTGACTTGCCTAGGGTCACATAGCTTGTAAATGCCTAAGGCAGGATTTGAACTTGGGTTTTTCTGCCTCCAAATCCAGCATTCTATCCACTGAGACACCTTGCTGGGCATCACACAGAATAGGTTAAACAACCCCTATCTATGCCCTTGAAAAGCATAGGGTTTCAGACAGAATTTGGCAATCTGTGAAACGTATGCCAAAGATAACATGAATGGTGGTTTCCAGTGGCATGTGGGCCACTTGCCACAATCATGCCACATCACCTGCTGTTTGAATCAATATTCTGAGCACTCTGATTTGTGAGAACTAGGTGTCAGTGTGATTAGCCTTTCCTCCTCACCTCCCTTCTCACCCCCACAGTATGATTGAAGGAAACAAGCCAGAACCTTCACATGTCCCTTTTTGAGGTTATCTATTCCTGTTCTAAGACAATTAGATAATATGATCAAGTGGAGACCCTAGTAAAATAATGTATTCAGAATGGCACCACTGATTTGGAATCCACATGTTACATGCAATTGCCCACTGTGATAAATGTATAATATTTCTGACTTCAAATGCCTCCTAACACCTGTGCTTGCCTCAACACTGCAGGCCACAAGCTGGTCTCCCAGATGTTCCAAAAGTTATTATGGATATAAAAAGTAGGGACGGGGATGTGACATCACCTGGTGGCCAGAAATCTACTGATAAACTTCTCAGAATGTAACCAGTCTGGCCCTTAGATGACAATCATATGCTCACCACCCAACCCATGTTCCCCATTCAGTTTCAGTTCGTCTCCCACACAACTGCCAAAGTGATTTTCCTCAAGTACACATCTGAGGGCAGCTAGGTGGCACAGTGGAGAGAGTGCCAGGCCTGGAGTCAGGAAGACCTGGATTCAAATCCAGCCCCACACACTAGCTGTGTAACCCTGGACAAGTCACGTAATATCTGTTTGCCTCCGTTCCCTCAACAGTAAAAATGTAAATAATAATAATACCTGCCTCACAGGGTCATTGTGAGGATCAAATGAAATATTTGTAAAGCACTCAGCACAGTGCTCATTGTCGTTGTTTAGTCATTCAGTCATGACCTATACTTCATGACCCTGCGGACCATACTGTCCGTGGCGTTTTCCTTGGCGACGTTGCTGAAGTGGCTTGCCATGTCCTTCTCCAATGGGACTAGACCTGGCACATAGCAGGTGCTCTCTTCCTCCTCCCCTTCACAAGTTGGCCCTAATTTATCTTTCAGCCTCATTGTACTCGCCTTCCTGAATTCTGTGATCCAGACAAACGGACCTCCTCCCTGTTCTTCATACATGACAGGCCAACTCTGGTCCCCATGCCTTGGCACATGCCATCTTTCTGCTTGAAACATACTCCCTCTTCCTCAGCCTCCGCCTCAGAGAATTCCTCCCTTCCTTCAAGACTCTGCTTGAGCACTACCTTCTACATGAAGCCTTTCCCTCAACTGCTCCTTTCTGTCCCTTTAACAATATGATACCTAACTGGCTTGCATTTGTTTTGTTATGTATTTTATTTTCATATATGTATGTGCTGTCTTCATTATTGCTACATAAGCTTCTTGAGAATAGAGATTATTTCATTCTTTGTATTTGTATAGGAGGCAGCTAGGTGACTGAGTGGGTAGAGACCTGGGCCTGGAGTCAGGAAGATCTGAGTTCACATCCAGCCTCAGACATTTAACAGTGGTGTGACCTTGGGCAAGTCACTTCACCTCTGCCTACTTCAGTTTCTCATCTGTACAAAAGGGGTAATAATAGCATCTACCTCCCAGGATTGTTATGAGGATCAAATCAGATAATATTTGTAAAGTGCTTGGCCCATAGTAGGTACTTAATATTGGTAGAACCAATAAGAATTTACAATACACCATTATAACTTATAACTTTCTAGATCATGGGTTCTTAACCAACCATAAGCTTTTTTAAAAAATGTTTTGACACCTGAATTTTAATGTAATTGGTTTCCTCGGTAATCCTATGTAATTTATTTTATGGACGGGGGTCCTTAGGCTTCACTAGACTGACAAAGGGGCCTGTGAAAGTAAAGAGCCCTCATCTAAGCCTAGGGTTGTCTCCTCACCACAAGGGAGCATCAGAGTTGGGTTTTATAGGAGAATATAGAATTATTGTGGTTATTGACATGGGATACATTCTCATTCTCACCCCTGTGTCTCGTGAGGTCTGGAGGGAAAGATGCCACTCCCCAGGCCCTGCTTCCTCTGACTAGACCTTTCTGTTTCTAGCTCGGAGGCTTTCCAGAAAGGAGGAAGGAAGGGGGCTAAGAAGGTAATGATTGTTATCACAGATGGAGAGTCCCATGACAGCCCAGATCTGGAGAAGGTCATTGAGGACAGTGAGAAGGATAACGTAACTCGATACGCTGTGGCTGTAAGTCTTTCTTCTACCCACTCCCTCTTCACTCCATCAAAACTTCATTCCATCCTGAATCCCATCCCTTCTTTGGCCAAGGTGGTCTCATTACTCTGGTAGGCTATGTGCCAGTAGGAAAGTACTGTAGGGCTACCTCCCAGTAACTCTTCTATTTTAACAAGGGTCTTCTGAAGCCAGTGCCCCTACCTTTGAAGTCCAATTGACTGCCCTCTTGAACTACTCACTGTCTTTGTGACTTCCCAGGCCATAACTTCCTTCCCTGGCTGCCATTCCCCTATATGTATTGCATCCCCAATTTGAATGTAAGCTCCTTGAGGGCAAGGGTTGTTTCAATTTTGCATTCATATCCCTAACACTGAACACATCACAGACCCTTAATAAACTCTTTCCATTCATTCATTCTAAGCCACTAAGGAATCTAATGGTAGGAATTTCGTGCAGGTTAGAAGGGGCTACTGTGGCAGGCTGGTGCTAAAGGCCTTTGGGAAAATATGTTTTACATGATCGCGCATATATAACCTACATCAGATCGCTTGCCATCTTGAGAAGGGGGTTGGGGAGTGAGGGAGAAAAATTTAGAACTCAAAATCTTTCCAAAAATGAATGTTGAAAATTGTCTTTCCATGTAATTGGAAAAAATGAAATACTATTACATAATTTTAAAAAATAAAGATAAAACTGGAAAGATGAAAAGAAATAAAGTCCTTTGGGGACACAGCTCAAAGCCCATGGTATAAATGCCATCCCATGAATCCTAAGTTTAGGATTGGCCTGCCCATTCTACCTCCTATCTATCCCTCTGGGGAGTGTGAAAATCTCTCTTTTGTCCTGTATAAGTACAGAGACTGTTTTGTTTTTATTTCTCCTCAGCCCTGGAATCTTTCCTGTTATTTATCCAAGCAATATCATTGGACAGGGGCTCAAAAAGCCAAAATATAGTCTGCGAGACTTCACTAAGGGCAGAAACCTTAGAGTGGCTGATTTGGAAATCAGAGAAACTGGGTTTGAATCCCAGACTTTCTATCCCTAGCTATATGATCATATGCAAGTCACTTAACTTGTATAATAATGATAGCTACCATTTATATAACACTTACTGTGTGCCAGGTACTATGCTAAGCACTTTACAATTATTATCTCATTTGATCCTTACAAAGACCCTGGGAGATAGGTACTACTATTATCTCCATTTTATAGCTAAGGGAACTGAGGCAATCAGAGGTTAAGTGACTTGCTCAGGGTCACATAGCTAGAAAGGGTCTGAGGCTGGATTTGAACTCTTCCTGACTCTATACCACCTACCTGTTCTCTGAGCATATTTCCTAATTTTCAAATTGTAGGGATTGAACTAGATAATTTCTGGGGTCTCTTTCAGTTCAAGATCTATGATCCTTTGATCTCATCATGTTTCTAAATACCTAATCTTAATTCTATGATGCTATGGGCCCTTACTTTCCTGGCATATTGGTTCCATTCCATCCTAATATAAACATTAGCTCTAATGGAACCCATAAGCTAGGGGGAAAAAATGAAACCCTCCCACCTTGCCCCAAAAGCCTGTGGGAATGGGGGCATTGGGAGACCAAGTTGTGTTATGGCCCTTCCCCTACCCCATTGTAGGTCCTTGGCTACTATAACCGAAGGGGCATCAACCCAGAAGCTTTTCTGAATGAAATCAAATACATAGCCAGTGACCCTGATGACAAGCACTTCTTCAACGTCACGGATGAGGCAGCCCTGAAGGATATTGTGGATGCCCTGGGGGACAGGATTTTCAGCTTGGAAGGTGAGTGATACATACCAGTTCCCAGGAAATACCTTCAGGAAGAATAAAGAACCACATACCAGTGGACCTCCATTTAAACACACCTAAATAGGGAAACCTGAATTAAAAAGCAGACTGATTTAGAAGGGCTAGGATTTTGTAATTCATATCACAAGACATAGGCATCCTCACTTTTCTGAAGAAGTGTTCTGCAGGATTTCTTTATATAACCAAGGCTCCTATCACATTAAAAATAGGATTTAAAGTCCACAGATCCAATTTAGATGAGAGTTGTTGGGTCCACAGGGACTAGACACAGGGCAGAGGAGAGATACAAAAAGAATAGTTCTCAAGACAATGTCCTTGTGCTTGAGAAGCTTGTGGTCCAAGCTGGGTGATAGATAAAGCAAACACATAGGGAAAAGACTCCAGCAATGCTTTACAAAAAAATGTATAAATTGCCAACGAATGTAGGGTCATGAGCCTGCTTGTTTAACAAACACACTGAAAGTTACATGTCCAAATGACTGTTGTCCCCTTCAAAGCAGTCACTTCCAGAGCCTATGTGCTTATTCCTGTAGTGGTTGTTGTTGTCGTTCGGTCATATCCAAGTCTTCGTGACCCCATTTGGGGTTTTCTTGGCAGAGATACTGGAGTGGTTTGCTATTGCCTTATTCAGCTCATTTTACAGATGAGGAAACTGAGGCAAACAGGGTGAAGGGACTTGCCCAGGGTCACACATCTAGTAAATGTCTGAGGCCAGATTTGAACTCACAAAAATGAGTCTTCCTGACTTCAGACCCAGCACTCCATCCATCATGCCACTTAGCTAGAGAAGGATATGGTAAACCATTCATTCTAGTATCTTTGCTAAGAAAACCCCAAATGGGTTCACAAAAAGTAAGAAGTGGCTGAACAACAACAATAAAACTTCTTAAAGTTATCTCTGAGATTTTCAAAGGACTGATAAGTAAAAAAATGATATTTTGAGATATCTATAACAGCTGTAATGTGGTATGAAAAAAATCTGTGATTTACATTAATGACAAAGTCACAGGTACTGCTAATAATACTGTGATTTGTTACTCATTATGTAATTGAAGGAAATGCTAAATGTCAGGTAGAGGTTAGTGAAAATAAAGATTTTTGGATTTATTTTCCCATCCAAGTTCACAAACCCCCTGAAATCTGTCCACAGAAACTAAAGGGGTCTCTGTAATCATGGTTAAGAACCTCTGGACTAAATGTCCCCTTCTATTTCTGACATTCTGTCATTCTATGACTTGTTCAGGGTAACACAGCTCATGAATGTCAAGGCTGGGCATAGACCCCACATATCCTTCAGGCCAAAGGAATAATGAGTAATTAAGAGTAATGATGTGGACTTGAGCAGCAGCGTGGGGTGCAAGAGTTCCTGGGTTCTTTGTCCAGCCACGTGAAATGTGGCCTGGTAATAAGGCTATATCAGAATGGAGGGCAGATCTGGATCTAGTCTGGAGGGTACGAGCTGACTAAATATACTTATAAATATAATCACAATTATAAAAATAAATATAATTATAATTGGTATGTGTGGAAACTGAGTCTAAATAAGTGAGGGAAAGAGAATGATAATCTTTGCATTTTTATTACATTTTATTCATTGAGAAAAATTTTGCACAGTCCTTATTTCAGCAGATCTTCTCAAGTATTAGTCCCCTGAGGCAAATAAGACAAGTACTACTGTCTCCATTTTATAAAAGACTAAACTGAGGAGGAACAGAGAGGAACCTTGACTTGGCTAAAAGTTGCCAATGGGATAATTAGATAAAATGGCCTTTAAGAGACGCTAATGAAATAATGCCTAGAGTCAGCACAAAAGGGAAGACAGGATAACCACCCATCACAGATGTTGTAAAGCCTAGGGAAAAGCAGGGCAGGGCACGGGGCAGGCTGATGAATTGAAGGATAAGTGAGACTAATCAGAGAAGACTTCTTGGAAGAGGCTGCCTTGAGCTGCTAGGAGAAACTAAGTGGCAAAAAAAAAAATCTGTTTTTATATTTCAATTCAATTCTCTCCCCATCACTGAGCATCTCCTATGTGACTAGCACTGTTAGGTGCTTTGGGGGAACAAGATACCAGTCAGTCAATAAACATTTATTAAGCATCTACTGTGTGCTTAATAGGCATTGCGCCAAACGCTGGGAATATAAAAAAGGCAAAAGATAGCCCCTGCCCTCAAGAAGCTCACAATCTAAAGGCATTTAGGACAGCAATGGGAGATAATGTTGAGGGGCAGCTAGGTGGCGCAGTGGATAGAGCACCGGCCCTGGATTCAGGAGGACCTGAGTTCAAATGCGGCCTCAGACATATTACCACTTACTAGCTGTGTGACCCTGGGCAAGTCACTTAACCCCATTGCCTAGACAAAAAAGAGAGAGAGAGAGAGAGAGAGAGAGAGAGAGAGAGGAGAGAGAGAGAGAGAGAGAGAGAGAAAGTTGAAGAGGTAGATCGAGAACAGTCATAAGACTTGATCTAGATTTGATTCATGTCCAAACTGTTGTCAAATTTTATCACTTTTAATTTTCACAACATCTCTCATGTGTGACCCTTTCTCTCCACTCACACAGTCACCACCCTTGTGTGTCATCATCACCTCTCACCTGGACTACTGTTGCCTCTCTTTGCAACCCCAGAATTTAGCCTAGTGCCTGGTACACAGTGGGTGCCTAATATACATTTATTGACTGACTTCTAATTTGTCCCTCTGACTCAAGTCTCTGCCCACTCCAATCCATCCTCCATTCAGATGAGGGATTTTCCTAACATTCAGGCTCAACTGTGTCACCCCCAATTCATTTAATACCAATGGCTCCTTATTGCTTTCAGGATCAAATATGAAATCCTACAGGTGGCATTTAAAAGTCTTAACAACCTGACCCCCTCCAGCCTTTTGAGTCTTCTTACACTGGATTCCCTTCCACATATTCTACCATCAGCTAAACTGGCCTCCACTGGGGTTCCTCATCTCCCACCTCCATGCTTTTGAGTTGGTCATCCACCATGCTTGGAATGATGTTCCCTCTCACCTCCTAGTCCTAGCTTCTGTCTTCCTGCAAGACTGAACTCAAACCTTGGCTTCGGCAGGAAGCCCTTCCCTTTCCCTGGTCCTGGCCCCTGGCCCCCACTCTTAAGCTCTTCCCTCTGAGCATACCTTCCATTTATGCTGTCTATATCGGGTATGTACATAGTTACCTCCATATTGCTACCCATTAGAATGTGAGTTCCTGGAGAACGGGGACCATGATTTTTTGCCTTTCTTTGTATCCAAAGCACTGAGCACAGTGCCTGACACATAGTGAGTTCTTCATCAATGATTGCTGACTGATGAACTCATTCAGTCCTGCAGGCCACGGAAGGCTCCTGGACTGGGAAATGGCCTAATGAATATAAACAATGGAAGAAGTCTGAGGTCTCAGTGTGCCTATAGACAGGATAATCCAAAGAGGCTGAGGCTCTCTGTACAGCGAGCTTTCTCATTTTTCTTCTCTTAGGTATTTTCATGCGTTAAGGTTTCCAGCTGACACCCCTACACACTCAACCCACCCCCTGCCCTTATCCAGATTTGCATTCTCTCCATGTGTTAGTGCTCTTGGGACTAGGACACCCTTAGACAAAGTCCCAATCCTTAGAAACATCTCCCATGGAAGTTACACAGCAGCAGTAGACCAAGTCTGCTTACTCCAAGCCTAACGTTCCAATCCTTCTTCTGCTTTAGGCACCAACAAGAATGAAACATCCTTTGGACTAGAAATGTCACAGACAGGATTTTCCTCACATGTAGTGGAGGTAAGGGCTGGAAATATCCCTCTAAGTCTCTGATTTTCTCTATTTTTAGCTCCTCTGGGTCTCTCTTCCCCATCCCCTCACCCCCACCTTCCATCAGGGAACTGGAGATGCTCAGGAACCACCGGGATAAGTTGCAGATGATACCTGATGCAGAGGGGTTAAAAAACCCCACTGGATATGGAGTCAATAAACCTGGGTTCAAATTCCAAGTATGCCACACAACCTATGTGATCTTAAGTACAAATCCCTTCCCTGAGCCTTGGTTTCCTCATTTTAAAATCATTGGACTTACACCAAACAATTTCGAATTTCCTTTCCAATTCTAAATCTAAGCTTCTACACTGGTACCCACTCTGTGTACATGTCTGTGCACCATATGTGTGTGTCCTTTGGGTCCCCAGTTATTCCACATACACCTATGTAGGTGCACTGTGTGTGCATCCCTATGAGGGTTCCATGTGCACGTGCTTTGGCCATTTGGATAGTATAAGTGCATACTCCCTTTGGTTACATTTCAGTGTGCCACTGTGGTGGCATGTTTTTATATTCTGTCTTTGTTCTTGTGCCCCATGCTATGGGTATAGTCTATCCTTTTCCAGAGAAATTATAATAGCTTACATTAAAACAATGGTCTGTTCATTTAAAAATATTTTCACATGCATTCTCTCATTTGATCCTTGCAATAACTCGGGGGGGGGGGTTTGGTGGTGATGGTCTAGATTTATGATTTCAATCACATAGGAAATGTCCTCCACCAATGCATATCAGCAACTATTCTGCAACTTTTAGTCTTACAGAGTTGTCTTGGCAAGCATTAGGGAGTTAAGTGACTTGCCCTGGGTTATACAGCCAGTGTAGGTCAGAGGCAGGACCTGAAACCCAAGACTTGTGAGGTCAGTTTTCTATCTACTATGCTATACTACCTTTCCTGATGATGATCTAATCCAATAAATATTTATTAAGTGCCTACTATGTGCTATGGATACAATTAACAAAAAGACAGTTCTTGCCCTCAAGGTGTTTATAATCTAATGGGGGTGAAGGAAGCAGGAAAGTGGGAGGGGAAATGGGACACCAGGGGGTACCCAGCACAGAGGCATCTTGTTCCATGAAGCTGAAACCGGGCAGAGCAGCAAATGCAAAGTGGAGTGAGCTGAGGGTCCAGTTTCTGCCCCCTGTAAAGGAAGGCATTGGGAGGAGTTTCATATTCCACCTCCAGCCATCCTGACAGAGGGGAGAGGAGGCCTGAAGAAGGTGGTATCAGTCAAGGCTTGAGTCAGTGGTGAGATTAGAGGCGATGAGCTTACCCTGGGAGGGGAATCATTTTCTGTGGAGTTGAGAACAGGCAAAGCAGCAGACGCAAAGTGGAGTGATGAGGAGAATAGCTAGCATTTATATGGTGCCTGCTATGTTCCAGGCGCTGTGCCAAACGTTTTATAAATATCATCTCATTTGATCTTTATCAAGTATTTAGGGCACAAATTATTGTTCCCTTTAATAGATGTTCCTCGAACTTAGGTTTGAGAATTTTAAGTAACCTCCCAAAGTTTACACGGTACGCTACAGGCAGAACCAAAGTCTTTTGACTTGACAACGTACCGTTCACCAGCGCCTGAAATTGTAGAAGTTGGGCTTTTGCCATTATTTCAAGTGGGATCAGAGTAGGAATTTCTAAACTGAGGAAAGGGGAAGCCTATAATGCACAGAACTCAGTGGGCAGATGACCAAAGATACAGAGCATTCCCAGGTTTTCTCCCATAACGTAAATTGAGCTGACCTCTAAAAACAATAATACATTAGGTTTTCATTGAACTCCCCCTCCCACTTAATAGTATTTTATTTTTTCCAATTACATGCAAAGATAGTTTTCAACATTCACTTTTACAAGATTTTGAGTTCCAAATTTTTTTCTCCCTCTCACCCCTCCCCACTCCCCAAGACGGGCATGAAATTTGACACAGGCTATACATTGCATTGAATTTTTTCAAAATACTTTCATTTCTCATTTAATGAATAGATAGATGAATGAATGCGTGAAAAGCATTTATTAAGCACTTACTATGTGCCAAGCACTATACTAAGAGTTGGGAAGAAAAATATAAAAGTGTAATGGTCCCTGCCCTCAAGAAGCCTTCGGATTTACATACCCTTTTGGGGTAGGACCAAGTATTATCCCCATTTTACAGATGAGGAAACTAAGAGAAGTCACGTGACTTGCTCAGCAGCACAGAGAAAGTTCCTGGCAGAGCCGGGATTAGGACCTGGGTGTCTTGTCTCTGAGTCCAGTGCTTTTTGAGAAGACTTAACAAGTATAATGTAGAAGTATAGCCACTTCTACCCAAATCGCTTTTGTTCTTAAATCCTCCTAAGCCAAGAGGAGCAAACTGAAAGGCCAGCAGTGTGGAGTGTTCGACGGTGCTATAAAAGCCCTGACTCTCTTCTTCCTCCTAATATCCCCTCCTCACAAACCACCATATCAAAGGTTCTTCTGGATAAAGCTTCTTCCTGGTGTTCTTGGTTCACCTTCTCCTCCAATCATCTGCTTACCAAGCTTTGGGTTCTTGTATTGAGGATGCTGTGGAATCCACTGCAGTTTTCCCTCAGAGGTTGTGGGCAATTCCCCGCAGTAGCTCCTAAGGACTTGAAGGAACAGAAGTGCATTTTCATTAGGGACCCTTCCATTCTTTTAAGGGGAGAGAGGCTTCCAAAGCCCCTAGAATGAAGCTCTAAAGATGTACAGTTTCTGGCACTGTCTTGGAGAAGATATTTTTAGCACCCCTCAAATTGTACCACACAGGCAACCAACTATTCTGTCTGCTCTTTAAATGCCTTCCCTAACACTAGAATGTCAGCTTCTCAAATATCCACTTGGCCTAGTAACCCAAGAAAAGAAACTAGACAGACCAGTGGGAAATCTAAGCTTTTGGCTCTGGCCAGAGGGAAAATATGAGCCTGAACATATCTATCCTCTGGCTGAGCCAACAGCTCCCATCTTCCTTGGAAGTGATTGAGAGGTAGACTCTTGAAATGATGTCCTGGAAATGAATTAAAGGATTCAGAAACTGCTTCTATTTGGAACCTGACAAGAGCCCAAAGAGCTCTTAAATAATGCTAACTATGACAAAAAAAGATTTATTTCCTATGGAAGGAACAAAAGGAACAGAGACAGAGAGGTCGTTGAAATTATAATGCAAATGAGACATACCTTTTATTTGTAAAGTACCTTATTCATTACAAAGTGCTTTCATTAAAATTGTTTCTTTTAATCAATCAATAAACATTTATTGAGCACCTACTATATGACAATGTGCTTACTCCTGCCCTCGAGGAGCTTACAATCTATAGAGAGAAGGTAGAACTACTCACCTCCTATTTTTATTCCATTTTGTCCAACAAGAACAGTCTTCAAACTATAAATAAAAGTAGAGAATGACACAAAGAAGAAATTGTAGTCCAAGATAGAAGAGAGAATAGTAAGTTGTCCTCAGGCCACTTTGAATGACTTTAAGTTTCCATTTCCAGGGGAATTAAATTTCAGACCTCTGAAGGAGTTTGCATCTCAGAGAATTTACAATCTCAGAGGCCCTGCTTGTAAATCTTTTTATGAGCTCAAGTTTACTGTTGTTAATCTTTGAGAAGTTACTCAGAATAGGAGGGGGAATGTCCCAATTTTGGAAAAGGAGAAAAAGTTGATCCTTTAAATTACACTCAATGTTGACGTCAATCTCTAATATAATTCTGGAACAGAATATTAAACAAATAGTTTGCAAGCATTTGGGAAAATAACATGGTAATCACCAGGAGCCAGCACATCCAATACCCAATTATTCAGGTCACCTTGTACTGTAGTAAGCTGTTTCCCACTAGAACTAGTCAAATAAAATCAGCATGTTCATATCAAAGATACTGTATATCAACTGACAGAATCAATCAATCATCAAGTATATATGAAGAGCCGGAGACTGTGCTAGGTGCTAGAAATACAAAAACAATAGGAAATTATTGCTTCAAGATGCTTATAATCAGGCCAGGGGGAATAGCATATACATACAGAAAAATATTCAAAATAGATACCAGGTAATCTTGGAAAGGCACTAGCAGGTGGGGGGAGAGGAGAATGGAGGGAAGCAAAATGCTGAAAAGATAAAGTGACAGATAAAGTGAGAATGCATTCCTGGCATGATAGGCAGCCTTTGCAAAGACATGAAGATAGGGGATGGAGTGTCGTGACAGCCAAAACTTAAGGCTTGCAAAGCACTTTAAAAATATTAGCTCATTTGTTCCTCACAACAACCCTGGGAGATAGGTGCTACCATCATCCCCACTTAATAGATGAGGAAACTGAGGCAGACAGAGGCTAAGTGACTTGCCCTGCTACATGTGTCTGAGGTTGGATTTGAACCCAGGCCTACTAGACCTCAGGTTCAGTGTTGTAGCTACTTCACCACCTAGCTAGGGGTAAGGTGAGAATGAGGGGGATGAGGTTAAGGTGGGAGGAGAAATAGGAGGGTAGGAAGTAGAGTAAAGCCTCCGGTACCTCACAATTACAACAGGTAAGTTGTGGCTCCTCTGGTGTGAGAGCTTGCCCAGCCCTTTTCAGGGCTGCTCATTCACCTTTGGTATCCACCTTTTCACCTGTGGCTCCAAGAAGCTGTAGCAGACATAGCAGCCACACCCTGGTAAACTCTCAGCAGATGGACTAAACCATGTTGATGATAGGTCTCAAACTCATTGATGAGTTAAGGGGACGGCTACCCCAAGCACATGAAGACTTCCCCCAGCAGGACAGACCAATGACAACAATTTGTTCCAATGGCCATGATGGCTGAAGCAGGCGCTGTGGAGCTCTTAGAGCTTGGTCAGACATCAAAGAGGTCAAGGCCATCCTCTGTATCCCAGGCCATCACCAGTCATCTTGACTTTTATTTTGCTACTGGACCTGGATGACTCTGGAAGAGAAAGTGAAGTTGATGACTTTGCACAACTCTGCCTCACTTAAA